TTTCTTGAGAGAAAAAGGAGAAAAAGGCAGAATATTCTGTAGAATTACTTAGTTGAATTGAACATGAGGGTGAGATGCTCCTATAACATGACATGACATACTTAACTTGACGTTACGTCGAAGTCTCCCCCGGATTTTACAACTATCAGTGTTCAGAAAGCTCATGTGACCTTATTGGTAATTGGAATGTGGTGAAATTTTCCAGTATTGTTGCATAATGACTATATTATAAATATGCCTATTGTTTGCTTTCATCAAATTTTAGAAATAATTAAATTCCATGAACTTTTGGATCAACCCTCGTATTAGAAAAAAGATGGATCTAAGATTGAACAGGTTATAATTCACCTGAGTCATTTAAATTACTTATTGCTATCTGTTTTTGTTCAGTCATCATGTGTCAAGTATTGTCTGTAAACTATTGAACATTTTCAGCTTCTTTTCTGGAACCAGTTTCAACTAATTTCTCGGTTGAAGTACTGTATAGGGGATTAATTTCAGGGGTTGTAATTTTCATGTTTTTCTCTCCTCTGACACGATCGGGGTTTGTTGAATTTGCGGAATCGGTATATAATAAAGGTTACATGTACCTCCCTTCAATGTCTATATCAGTTTAATCCATAGCATAGCTAGAAGGCAGTAATCAGCATTATGTATTCACTTCAGGAACAACAGGGTAGATTTATATATACATCAGCAAGTTCGATAGTTATTTGAATGATTTTTTAAAACCAAAATGTCGATAAAAACATGATAATGCAGGTAACAAATACACGTCGTAACATAGTTACGTACGGGTATTCAAAACCCATGACCCTAGTGTTTTGATTGATGAAACATGTAGCGTTGGCTATTAAAACAGTTTTTTTTTTACAAATACAGGTTATTATCTGCTGAGTGATCTAAATTAATGTCAAGCGTGATAATTAAAATAATTGAATGACAAGTACGATTCGTAATTACTGAAATGACCATGCACTGCACGTATATTTACCTATCGTAGCCTATTCTCAAATTTCCAAATATAACATGTAGGTTATTGAGAAACTTATTCACTGTTTCTTGAATTCACGGATTTATTCACACCGTAAATATAGCGAATATTAACACCGCGAGTTATTTCCCCCCTATACAGTATACAGACATAATATAGAAATGATTTTATCGACTTTCTCAATCTATCATGAATTTGAAAATGTAAATATAAGCATTTAATTGTAAATATTAAACATTTAGCATCTCATAACCAGAGTTGGAAATTACTGACTGCCCGAGGCAGTCTGTTTTTCAGGTAGGTAGGGACAAACTTTAGATTAGCCTTGGTGGTCGGGTCATTTAAACAGGTAGTTCCTGTTTTCCTTTTTTTTCAGGGTATAGTAAGTCTATAGAAATTAAGTAAAATATAGTATATCAAAGGAACACTTCTAGTTAAAAATATGAGATGACCTATAGGACCAATATTGGTTTCAGTCTTTAGAAAAAGCTTATCGATATATGTTCCGGTCACTGACTTTAGGTCACATGTGTGTAGTTTCTTGTTTCTCATGTATTGCTTTAGTTCTACATTAATGGTAATCTAACAACCAAGCTTTATGATAAACGTGATGACTTTAACTTTTCAATCGTCAACTTCCCTTACTTATTCAGCAATATACCTTCATCACCTGCATACGGGGTTTATATCTCTCAGTTGATTCGATACGCAAGAGCATCCTCTATGTATGAACAATTTTTAAAATGAGGTAAGTTATTGACAAACAAATTGCTGAAACAAGAATATCAGCTGTCTTGTTTAAAGTCATCATTTTGTAAGTTCTATGGTCGATACAATGACCTTGTCAGCAAATACAATTTATCATTAAGTAAAATGCTGACTGACCTTTTTCATACTTATTGTTAGGCCATTATTTACACACTGAATTGTGTATGGATTTTTCCATTGTTTCCCAGTCGTGACAAGGAGCACACAGCGGGTGTGACTGGTCTGCAGGGGATGCTCACTCCTCCATGGCACCTGATCCCACCTCTGATGTTTTGGAGGTCCGTGTTTTTGTATTTTTTGATGGGCTTTTGAGCTTGAATACTGATTGTTATCTCGATATATTTCATTCTACTCAACTGTGTGTTCATGTGATCCTACCTCAGTATTTACAGAATGATACATCCTTTGTTTGAGGGTCATTCTTGATGTCTGACTGAGTAATGGCAACGGGACATAAAACCTTAACTGACCTTACCACATTCTTTTCTAATCTGAAAACCCTCATGCATTTTTAGCATAACATATCGCCAATGCACACATTTTTCCCGAGGAATGAACTGCATCTACTCTGCATAGAACAGTATCTCTCCCACTGGCACAACAGTACTATTACATGTCATTATGTTCTTGAAAGGCAAACACAGCAATTATTGCTCGGCATGATTTTTTTTCGTGACACCTGCAGTATCGAGTAACACAAAGTGAATGATTCATGTCCTCGAACAAAGTGTGCTTACAATGAGGTTTAGTTCCGGTTGATTGCGTTTAGTTAAAGAGAATTTATGATGTGCATTTCCATAGATGTCTTTTATATCAACACCAAACATGTATTTAAGGAAGAAAATATATTAAGTAAAATGCAAAAGCCTGTATTAAAAAATCAAAGGACAAGTGCACTTAAGCAATGCTTAATGGGCCCTTTTTCAGTGCCGTATTACTTTAGAATGTATTACCAAATTGTTCTCTTCTGGTAATAGTTAAACACAAGTGGACATTTCTAATTAAAATCACATTAAAACATCACCTAAATCAGCATGGATTTGAAACAAATGAAGTTTTTTAAATGCCTATAGATACTCCAAATCCGGAAAAGTCGTACCGAACCTATTTTGAGTTTCGTTTATTTAAATCAAGGGGAGGAGACATTTAAATCAGACACTTGAACAATCTGATGGTGGATCATTGACAGGTGCGTTTGCCGAATGATACTTCTTGTGCTATTTTACCCGAGAAAAAAATCGAATGAAGTTGTATAGATACCTGTATCCATAGTGATCAAATTAAGAAATTTGCATGCTTGCATTTGAAATAATACAATAAGTATTAACATTAGTTCCTGTAAATTTTAAAATGAAAAAAAGTGTATTTAGGTGGCTTTCAATACCAGTACCATTGTCTGGCATGAATGTTAAAAATGTTTGAAACTTTTATTTATGATGACATTTTAACGACACTAAACTCTCCTAACCATCCCGTGTTCCTAAAACCAAATACATACAAACTTCTCTATGCGGCTTGACTTCGATATAATGATATGAAACGTGGCTATGTTTTACAGTGAGCATCTTTGAGGAATGTTTACCCGGGTAGAACTCACGTGACTACCAGTATTTTAAATAATTTATTCCACGGGTGGGTTCAACATAGGTCATACAGGTAAATAGCTCTTGCTTGTTATAGGAAAAACATTGAACTTTTCATACATTTTTAATATTTTAAGTACAAGCCTAATCATGTACAAATTTCCTACTTTCACACAAGTTTTGTAAATGTATAATGCATTTTTTGTCAATCGCACAAGTTTGTACAATGTTAGGCTGACAATAAACAAAAGCTTTGAAATGAATGACCGTCCTCGATTTACTATAGAAAATCACGAATGTCGGCTGACCCCCTACCACATTGTATGGCTTTGCTCTTTGTATATTCATGAATTTCAGCGATAAAATTTGTTGAATCTTATGGTTTAGATATCAATTAATGATCTGAGATGGAAAATTATGCTTAATTTAATTCTTCATTTTTTCACATTTTACCGGGGCCCATAAGTGCACTCTTTCTTTAGTGTTTATACAGGTAAAAAGTTTGAAAAAATAAAAATGTGCCAACAAATGGTTTCGAACCAGGACACTAAAAATGTTCATGGTGAGAGTCTGCGGTCTATCGTTCTGGGCTATGCTGACTATGAGGACATTTGTAATAAATATAAACCAGTATGATAGAAATAGGTTTTCACGTTTTTTGTAGGTTTTTTTTTTTTTTTATGAATTTCGACCCTAGGCACCTCTAAAAGAACCTTTTTTTAAATAATTGCTTACTAGATCAAAATCTATCAAAATTTCATATTTAATTTAGGGGCAGGCAAAGGGTGATTATATTGCATCTATCGGGTATAATTTTCTTATTAGAAAATTGTAGAGATATGCAAGGTTAATTAATGACAACATTTATTTTTCCGTTTTGCCTTATACTTTTATGATTTTCACTAATAAATTGATTATTGAAAAAAGCCTTTAATATGACTGCTGATTTTATCTCCATCTGTTAATTATACCCCCGCTCCGAAGGAGAGGGGGGTATACTGTTTTACCCTTGTGTGTCTGTCCGTCCGTCTGTCTGTCTGTCTGTCTGTCTGTCTGTCCGTAACAAACTTTGGTCGCAGTTTTCTCAGCAACTACTCATCAGAGGTGCTTGAAATTTTAACACACTCTTTGTTTAGGCATGCCATATGGTGGGATTCATTTTTGTATGAATTCGATGTCAACTTCCTGTTTATCCGTGCGTCTGTCCGTACCATACATAACAAATTTTGGTCGTAGTTTTCTCAGCAACTACTCATTGCAGATGCTTGAAATTTTAGCACAATCTTTGTTTAGGCATGCCATATAATAGGATTCATTTTTGGAACAAATCTGATGTCAACTTCCTGTTTATCCGTGCGTCTGTCCGTACCATACATAATAAATTTTGGTCGTAGTTTTCTAAGCAACTACTCATCGCAGGTGCTTGAAATTTTTTCTTTGTTTAGGCATGCCATATGCTGGGATTCAGTTTTTACAAATCCGATGTCAATTTCCTGGTTATCACTGTGTTTGTCCATAACTGAACTTGTGTATTCACATCAGAGCGGGGGTATTATTAGTGAGCATTGGCTCACAGACTTCTTGTTTTCAACACCTTTTCTCATGATTATAGTAGATAGAGAACAGATTATGATTTCTAACATTTACTTTTACAGATCATTTCCTTGAGATAGGTGGAACCAACAGTCAAATACAAACACTTTTAAGAAAAGTAAAAATCTGGCTCAGGTAAAAAAAAAAAAAAAAAAAAAAAAAAAAATCATTTAAGTTTTAACAATAAGTAATTTTACCTTAGTTAACTGGAATTTGACGAAATACAGGTCAAGAATGTAGAGTTTAAAGCCTAGTAGGGAGTTTGGTCAATCATTACAGGTAATCTGCAGTCCCTCTCGAGAATTTTACACTCATATGGAGATGCCACCACTTGCCAGTGGAAAGCTGCAAATTCTGTCCTATACTCTGCACTCATGGCCATTGAGCAGTGAGGGGTCTTTTTCATGCCAGCACCTACTGTGACACGGGACCTTGGTTTATAAGGTCTCATCCGAAGGACTGGTCTCCATGTCCCACAGTGGGATTCAAACCTGCGACATTAGGATCAACTCCTTACTTCGCGACTCTAGAGCAGACGCTCTAACCATGGCGCCACGCTTGTGACTAGCTCCGTTTTAAAGAAATCATTCAAGATATTTTTTATCAAACTTAATATGCTGATACATATATAATTAGTAAGACCTATTCAACTATTTCAAAAACTTTTGACCTTTCCTGTGACCTTGACCTCACTTTCCTTCAATTTGCATTTTGCATGGTTTTAAAACCATTTAAAATATTGATATCTAAGGCTATGCATCTATACATAATTTGGTGAGAATTTATCATCTATATCCATTTTTTTTAGATTTCAATTTCAATTTTAAAGAAACTTTTCAAGATATTCTCATCAAACTTCATACACTAACACAAAATTTCATGTTGCATTACTATACACTCGGCGGGCATACATGTCCTATGGACATATTTCTAGTGTATTGCTATTTCTGTTGTTTGTTTACTTCCGGTCAGTAAGTGCCCCCTAGGGGCAAGCCCCAGTCCTGTTTTCTTTTCCAGGGTTGCAACAGCGCCCCCTAGAAAAACAAGTTGCACCATCCAATCAAATTGTGTTTTGTGCTGCTTTATGCCAATGATATTAACGCTGGACAGCATATGTATTATATTCTGACCAATGGGGTTGCAGTATTTTCAAAGAATTAGGATAGACTTACCACTTCAGCATTCCTTTCATCACTGAAGTGATATACATTGTCAAAAATTGACTAACTTTCATTTTTGTGTCAACTGCAGAGCAGAACGACACTTAGAGATCACTTTACCTGGTGTCTGTCTGTCCGTCTGTCACACCTTATATCTCCAAAATTTTGAGAGGCAGGGTTTTGATAATTAGCATTTATATATGTTTTTGAGCTCATGATACTATACTTTGAAACTGTATGAAATTCAGTTACCACACAAACTTATATTTAAATACTATGAAAATACATTGGGATCAGTATTCCACAATGAATCGTGTTGACTGACAAAGTGACGTCAATTAAAGTAAAGACAGTCTGAAATTCCTTTCCTCCGAGGATTGTTGGAAGCACCTACATGTGTATTAATAAAATGATAAATAGTTATTCCTCATAATTTCAATTAAATTATTCATTTGAGGACTGTGGAACCATATTTTCTTTGATTGCCAGATTCTATCCCAGTCTTTTACTTTTGGATCCTTTTTTTTCCTTGCAGGCAAATGCATGAACCTCCATGCTAATATTAAATTAATAGCTGACCACTCTTAGATTTATTTACCTCTTTAATGATGATACCTAGCAGGTGTTATATACATTCCTTGAAACACTCTAGTTCCTATTTGATTTTCACTAATATAAAGATTATTGAAAAAAGACTAAGGTGCTCTATAGTGATCAGTCTATTCATTCATCTGTCTGTCAAATACACATATCCCTTGTTCAGAATACAGGTGACTCTAAATACTTCAAACTTTATATTTTTTAATTAGATAAATGTAGCTGCTTTGGAACATCTGAAAGGTCTATTACATTATCACTAGTTTTACTAGTTTTCTTCATGTAAGTTGAATATATTTTAAACTTTTAAATTTTTATTTTTTCCAGGTAAGAAAGAAATTCAGGAGTTCTTAAATTGCCCTTGGAGTTCTTGGATTGCATCAAACTGCTAAAAGACCTCAACAAAAACAGCGTCTTGAAAATAAAAATGAAAATATTCAGTGAAAAAAAAATGATGAAAGAGCCACTAAAAATCTTCAAGCCTTTGAGCTGAAATCTGGAAGTCAATCTGTGGACTTTACTAGTATGTCTTACTAAGTCATCATTTGTGTATAATAAATACACTAAACTGTAAACACTTGTTAAAATGTGTATAATTTTTAGATATAATTTGTAGCTCACAGACTTCAATAGTTTCATGTAATTTAAGTAATAATGAAAATTTCCTGTTGTCTAGCTAGATTAGAAACTATTATTGTCCAATTTTGGATATTGTGAAATAATTCAGCTGTTGTTCAACTGAATATGATAAAACTGTGGATGAAAATAATTTGATTTTTGTACCTTTGAATGTATTGAATTAATTTGTAAAAGCTGTTATGATACAATGTTTGATATTTTATAAAAGTTTTTAGCATATGCAATCAATAAATGTATCAACATTTTTATTTTATTATACTTTTTACCCTGCAAACTTCTTAAAAACAGAATAGTAATGATCCATTTAACTGATACTAGGTTAGTGTCACATTGTACTGGTATATCATGTATACTGAACTGTAAATAAGAAACATCTAAATAGGTAAAATCACAGCATGAATCATTGGATTATGTAAGAAGTGCACTATCTTGTGCTTTGGTATGGTATTAATAATAAATGTTAAACTATCATTTTTTTTTTTTCAAATTAACAAAGGATATGCTTGAGTGACTGTATTTTGACTAGCAGTAAAAATAAAATGATTTTTAAGCATTTGAATTATTTTGATTCATGGTCTCTGCAAGTTTAATGATAGCAAATATGTATATTGAACATGGCATCCACATATTGCTATACTGGATGGGGCATAACTTTTACTGAATCTTAATCACAACCTTGAAATTTTATGCAGTACATGTACTCTTGGTTTCAACTGGTCAAATGTATTCTTAAATCACAAAGAATTTAAACAAATATAGGCATAGGTCAGAACTTCATCAATTAGTTGGAAAGCGAATGCACTCGGTGACTATATGGTTTAAAAGAAGCTGGGTATAAATAGCAGGAAAAACTACTTGATGTCCACTGTACATGTGAACTTTGTGTCCTCAACAAAACAATATGGAGTATACTATACTTGGTCTAAAGAATAATCTATGTCTGCATTCACTTTAAGGTTAAACTGTTTTGGACATTGAGAGTTTGTTTGTTGTTTAACATCCCTCTGGAGAATTTTTCACTCATATGGAGATGCCAACACTTGCCGATGGAGAGCTGCAAATGACCTATGCTCGGCACAGTGGGATTCAAACATGTGACAAAAGGATCAACTAACTCCACGACTCTAGAGCAGAGGCTCTTTCCACTGCACCACGTGGGCGACAGCATAGAGAGTTAAATGTGGATATCAGAACAAGCTACTCTAGGCTTATACTCTCTATATATTGATTGATTGTATGTTGTTAAACATTCCTCTCGAGATTTTTTCACTCATATGGAGACACCACCACATGCCGGTGGAGATCTGCAAATTTTGTCCTATACTCAGCACTTACGGCCATTGAGCATCGAGGGATTTTTTTCGTGCCAGCACCTACTGCGACACAGGACCTCGATTTATACGGTCTCATCTGAAGGACCGGTCTCCCCATCACACAGTGGGATTTGAACCTGCGACGTAAGGATCAACTCCTTACTTCGCTACTCTAGAGCAGACGCTCTAACCACTGCGCCACGGGGGCAACTACTCTACTCTCTATTTAAGTCACTTGTGCAATGACTTTAATTCAAAGTTTTGTACTGATCATGTTGAGTCACATTAGCACAAATATCTTTCTGCTGACCTTGACTAATGACCATCCGCAACTATTCTGGTTGGAAACAATATGTTAATCAATGCATAATAAGTGAAATTACTATGAAAGAAAAATGGTCTACTTAAACCACAAGTTATATTTATAAAAAATATACACTGGTCTCCTTAAGTCATATGAGAGAAACATAAAATATTAAGGAGACCATTTTTTTCATATATTTTTAGGAGGCATTTATTATGAAAAAATAAAGCAAGAGTCGACTAAATGGTGTTCTATAGATCTTTGATCTGGTATTTCTTTTTAGAAAAAAGCTAATTTAAAAAATCTGTATATTGTCTCCTTAAGCCATATATAATGGTCTGGTCTCCCTAGTCCTTAAATCAGAGTTATATATATATATATATATATATATATATATATATATATATATATTTATTTATCTGTCTATTTATTTATTTGTTTGTTTATTGATTTTATTAATTCATGTATCTGTTTATTTATTAATTTGTCTGCTTATTTATCTATTCTTTTTTTCTCCATTTATATATTTATTTTTTTATTCAATCTATCTATTAATTTATTTATTTTGTTTTATTTAATTATCAATAAACAAATGGATTTATTTAAAATTTTTATTTATTTATTTTATTTTATTTTATTCAATTATTTAATTTATTGATTAATTAAATTTAATTCATTTTTTGTAGTTCTTCATATACAGTGTCCGGGTAAAACAAATTTGCTTCAAACTATTTTTTAAGCATATTCAAATTACTTTTAATTCTTTTAATTTCATGATGGGTATCAAAATCATCGTCTTATTACACACAATCTGAATCTGGAATTTGTTTTATTGTTTTCTTTTACTTTGGTAAAATGAAAATTTCCTCAAAAACTTGTCACGGTTGTGAAAGAAATAACACCTGCAGAGTGGATACGGTCGTGCTGCCACAGAATAAACAGTGTATAGTGGTCAGTCAAAAGAACAATAGGTGTCTGATCTGTGTACCCAGAGTCACTGGTCAACTATCAACAGCTCAGAATTACTTTGACAACCGAACAGTTTTTGAGGAACATTTCTATTTTTCGTAACAAAGTAAAAGAAGCAAACAAATTCCGAATTCAGATTGTGTGTAATAAGACGATTATTTTGATACCCATCATGGAATGAAAAGAATTAAAAGAAATGTTAATATGCCTAAAAATAGTTTGAAGCATCGTTTGTTTTTCCATAAGACTGTTTATGGGGAACTACAAAAAAAAATAGGAATTGAAAAAATTAATTAATTAAAATAAAATGAATAACAAAATAAAGAAAGAAAGAAAAGAAATAACATTAATTAATTAATAATTGAATAAAACAAATATTTAAAAGCAAAGAGATGAATATATTAAATAAATAAATAAACAGATAGATAAAAAATAAATAAATAGAAAAATATACAAATAAATAAGTAAAAAAATAAATAAAATATTGATTTTGTACATAATAATGTGTTTGAAGTTCTTTAGTAAATTTATCAATTTAATTGAATTTAATTTTATTGATGTATAATTTTTTATTTATTTCTTTGTCCGTTTATTTATCTATTTATATTTTCATTCATTTATTAATTTTATCTATCAAATTTATTTTTTACTGTGTATTTGTTTTATTTACATGTAATTTTTAATAAATTAATATATTTATTTATTTTTTTTATTTATTTTATTTTATTTTATTTATTTCCTTTATTTTAATTTATTGATTAATTTTATTTAATTCAATTTGTGTAGTTATTCATTAACAGTCTCCGGGTAAAACAAATTTGCTTCAAACTATTTTTTAAGCATATTCAAATTACTTTTAATTCTTATAATTTCATGATGGGTATCAAAATCATTGTCTCATTACGCACAATCTGAATCTCGAATTTGTTTTATTGTTTTCTTTTACTTTGGTAAAATGAAAATTTCCTCAAAAACTTGTCACGGTTGTGAAAGAAATAACACCTGCAGAGTGGATACGGTCGTGCTGCCACAGAATAAACAGTGTATAGTGGTCAGTCAAAAGAACAATAGGTGTCTGATCTGTGTACCCAGAGTCACTGGTCAACTATCAACAGCTCAGAATTACTTTGACAACCGAACAGTTTTTGAGGAACATTTCTATTTTTCGTAACAAAGTAAAAGAAGCAAACAAATTCCGAATTCAGATTGTGTGTAATAAGACGATTATTTTGATACCCATCATGGAATGAAAAGAATTAAAAGAAATGTTAATATGCCTAAAAATAGTTTGAAGCATCGTTTGTTTTTCCATAAGACTGTTTATGGGGAACTACAAAAAAAAAAATAGGAATTGAAAAAATTAATTAATTAAAATAAAATGAATAACAAAATAAAGAAAGAAAGAAAAGAAATAACATTAATTAATTAATAATTGAATAAAACAAATATTTAAAAGCAAAGAGATGAATATATTAAATAAATAAATAAACAGATAGATAAAAAATAAATAAATAGAAAAATATACAAATAAATAAGTAAAAAAATAAATAAAATATTGATTTTGTACATAATAATGTGTTTGAAGTTCTTTAGTAAATTTATCAATTTAATTGAATTTAATTTTATTGATGTATAATTTTTTATTTATTTCTTTGTCCGTTTATTTATCTATTTATATTTTCATTCATTTATTAATTTTATCTATCAAATTTATTTTTTACTGTGTATTTGTTTTATTTACATGTAATTTTTAATAAATTAATATATTTATTTATTTTTTTTATTTATTTTATTTTATTTTATTTATTTCCTTTATTTTAATTTATTGATTAATTTTATTTAATTCAATTTGTGTAGTTATTCATTAACAGTCTCCGGGTAAAACAAATTTGCTTCAAACTATTTTTTAAGCATATTCAAATTACTTTTAATTCTTATAATTTCATGATGGGTATCAAAATCATTGTCTCATTACGCACAATCTGAATCTCGAATTTGTTTTATTGTTTTCTTTTACTTTGGTAAAATGAAAATTTCCTCAAAAACTTGTCACGGTTGTGAAAGAAATAACACCTGCAGAGTGGATACGGTCGTGCTGCCACAGAATAAACAGTGTATAGTGGTCAGTCAAAAGAACAATAGGTGTCTGATCTGTGTACCCAGAGTCACTGGTCAACTATCAACAGCTCGGAACTACTCTCACAGCCATGACAGTTTTTGAGGAACATTTTTAATTTTTTTACCAAAGTAAAAGAAGCAATAAAACAAATTCCGAATTCAGATTGTGTGTAATAAGACAATTATTTTGATACCCATCATGAAATTAAAAGAATTAAAAGAAATGTAAATATGCTTAAAAGATACTTTGAAGCATATTTTGTTTTACCTTACGACTGTTTATGCGAAACTCACAAATAAATTGAATAAAATAGAATTAATTAATTAAAATAAAATGAATTAAAAACTAAATGAATATATAATATTTATCAATTAATTAATAATTCAATAAGGAAAATATATCTAGAAAGAAATATATGAACAGATTTAATTAATAAATTAGTCAATAAATAAATAAAACAAATAAATAAATACATGTGGATATATAGATAAACATATAGATAAATATAAATATTTTTACTTGCCATTCATAACAAGACACAATAAATTTGTAATTCATTCTTTTCAAAGTAACTGGCATTTATTCTCCTTAAATTTTATCTAAAAGCTACATGTAGTAAACTAAAACAATCAAATACAATCATATTAAGAAATAAATTACTCAAGATATTCAAACAAATAACAATTGACTAAATATATATTGTCACAAAACTTAAGAATTGCCAAGAGTAACGTATTTCTCACAAGTAAATAGCAACAAAACATATTTTAACCCTTTTTCCTGGTCAAAATGAATGTCAGGGGACGACAGGGGGTTGGCAGGGTGGTCAGGGACTTAGTCAGGGGACATCAGGGAGTTGACAGGGACGTCAGGGAATGTCAGGGGACATCAGGGGTTAGACAGTGGTAACAGGGGCAGAGTCAGGGGACGTCAGGGAGTAAACAGGGTAGTCAGGGACAACGACAGGGGATCATAGGAGAAAGTCAGGGGGAGACAGGAAAATGTCAGGGACAGACAGGGGAACGTCAGGGGATTTTTTGGAATCTAAGTGGAAAATCATCACAGTAGTGGATGTGCCAGAAACCATCTTTGCAGTCGACAACAGAAAAAATCCTAGCTTTGCTCAGTTCTGGCAATATGTCTTCTATAGTTGGTATTGTGTAATGGTTACGTTTTAAGGCTTTGTTTAGCTGCTTTTGGTCAATGCACAGTCGCATTTTCCCACTGGGCTTCTTTACGGCTACGAGTGATGAAATCCAGTTGGTCGGTTCCGATACTGGTGCTACCACACCTATGTCTCTCAGTCTGTCGAGCTCATTTTTTAGCAGAGCTTTCATAGCGATCGGGACCTTTCTAGTGGGAAGTTTAACGGGAGCAGTCGAACTGTCAATCTCAAGATGCAGCTTTCCACTTAATTTTCCAAGACCATTGAATACGTCATTGTATTTCTCTTGAATGCTTTTGTTTTGACTCTCGGAGTTGACGGCAGCAATGTTTTCTCTGTTGACGGTAATCATGTTCATTCCTTAAATTACCTTTGCTCCTAAGATTGGGTTCAAATTTCTTTGAACAGCAACAATTTCAATATTGTAACGCTTATTGTTTTTGGGATTTCGCACACTTACTCTTCTTTTGCCAAGAGGGTTGCATTCAGTTTTGTTAAACATGACAAGAGTCATGTCTGCTTTCTGAAGCATGCTGAGATTAGGGTCATTGCATACCTGTTTATAGATTTCTTCGGGTAGTACATTCACGGTTGACCCATAGTCTAACTGGAATCTCACAGTTTTCCCTTCAATTTGGATTTCTGCATACAGTTTTTTCTCAATGGAATTTACGTTTTCAATCATGAGGATAAATTCCTCATCACTTGTATCATTGTTGATTTGTTTGATGTGGCCACGCCTTGGTTTGAGTTGTGGGCATTTCGTTGAGAAGTGGTTCATCTGGCTGCATTTTCTACACTTTTTCCCCATGCTGGACACAATTCTTTTCTAAAGGGGTGTTCCTTACCACAATATAGACATTCTTTGTGACTTTTAGAGGTAGTCGGAGATTGTTTAATTTCTTTCCTTGTTGTTTGTTTGGTTTTTATAAATGTCTGCGGTTTGCGTGGCGATTTCATTTTTACGGCATGTACCTCTTCCATAGTTTAAAGCTGGGAGGTGGATTTTTCATTAGCCCTGCAGATGTCAACACATCTCTTTAAGTCCAACTTCGGTTCCTGAAGTAATTTTTTTTCGCGTGCCAATTTCCCGTATTCCTAATACAATTCTGTCACGGATTATGTCATTTTCCAGCGCATCAAATTTGCACGTTTTTTTCAAGTGATCTCAGAATTGCCACATATGTGTCAATATTTCCAGTCGTTTCCTGATCTCGTTTATAAAACGTATATCTCTCATAGGTTTCATTTGTTTGTCCAATGTAGAAGGCTTCAAATCTTTCAAGTACTATATCTGTATCTTTTTTGTCATCTTCATTCTCAAACTGGAGGCCATCAAAAATGTCTAATGCATAAGGTCCAATGCATGTTAGAAAGGTAGCAGTTCTCACGTCTTTGTCTTTCTCCTTTAAGTTGGATGCAGTTTCGTAGTTACATGTAGTCCACATCCGCTTGAACTTTTTCCAGTTTGTTGAGAGATTTCCCTTGAGATCCAATTTTCCAGGTATTGGAATTGATAGATTCACAACAATAGGAACGGGAGCATTTGCGTTTCCCTCGTCACCCATGGTATCCAGTTAAATCCAGAGATTCACAGAAAGACTCAGAAAAACACTTCTGACACCATGTAAAGTAATGGTTCTAACACGTGTGTGTTCTACACACACGAGTTTATTGCAGACTGTTTAGTATAAACAAAGAGCATATAGATATAGCATGCAAGCACGTGGTTACAGAGTGCACAGGAGATAGGGATAATCTCAGAATACAATATATATACTACATAGGTAGAGTAACCACTGCATGATCACCCCCCCCCCCCCCCCCCAGTCAGATATTGACAACAAAGGAGAAATATAAAGATAAAGGAAAACATAAACATAATATATACACAAAAATATATAAGTAAAGTACGAAAAAGAATCGCCATCCTGAAAAAGAATATATTTTGTATCATAAAAAATCGCCGATATTTCCATTGCGCACCTTAAGTAGTAAATAATCATAATTACATTTGTCCGATATTAGTAAAGTACGAAAAAGAATCGCCATCCTGAAAAAGAATATATTTTGTATCATAAAGAATCGCCGATATTTCCAATGCACACCTTAAACTGTACTGAGTGGTTTTCATTGGGGGTTCTCTTGATGTAAGGTTTTGTATACATGCCAGTTTATTTGGGGATAGATTTCACATTTTACTCGAAGACGTCACCTCGATTCAGTACTTTCAGTACTTTGGTTAATGATACACATGTATGTAATTGGAAACTATGCGAGATAATAAATAAAAAGGAAAAGCAGAGTTGCCGAGTATTATGCTAAATGTCATTAATACCGCGACTTACCAAAACTTCAATTGTTTCTAAAATGAATCTCTCTACAAGATCACTAGGATCAATGCTTTGACCTTCTAAGGTATCAATCTCTTCCTTCATAGCAAGTAAGTTGCCTTTAATTAGATGTTCAATCCGCACCAAGCCTTCGCCATAAGCGTTTAACATTTTGTACAGAACTTTCCTTCGTTTTGCCCACTGCTGATCCGGCGATGAAAAAGCAACATCTTTTTTGTGCATATAAAAATATTTTTCAAAGAAGAAATCAGGTCGTCCGGCCATTTTTGTTGCGTTTGGCTCCCGGAGAAGAAGATCACGCATGATGTCTGACGAGTTAACGCAGACAAACTTTCTACCAAGACACATGAACTGAAAAACGTCACCATAAAGTGTCTTCCATTTATCAAATGTAAAATAAAGGCGGATAAGGTCTAGCTCCATCAAAACTCCCAACACAGGCCAGCCCTTTGGTCCAGGTAATGGTTGCTGCTTTTGCCATCGAAGCAAAAGGATAATCAAAAAGTAAATAAGTGCTATCAAGAGGAGGTACAAAACGGCCATTTTTACGGATTTCAAATTTTACAAGCCACCGAGTTTGCCACGGGTATTGGTTATCCTTTAGTGTAATACATATTGTCTGAGGAACTATGACACACCAAACGCGTCAAGATGACGAAAGTAAAGGAAAAGTTGCAAGATTTGTGTTTTCATGATTTATTTACAACAAACGTCTTGAAAAAAAATTAATCTAGTACACAGTTATATAAAAATTAAGCACATGCCATAGCTTAACACAGAAAACATAATTATGGAAACTATTTTTTTAAGAAAAAATCAAATGTAGCTTTACCCCCTTCCAACACCCCCCCCCCCCCCAATGCAATCGAAAGAAATCAAAATGCAAATATTGAGGCTATGGGTTTGTATCTAGATAAAAAGTTCGTATGTTAAGACTTTATTTGATTTTTGTTCATAAATATCTTAGTAACTGGTGTAAGAATAATGCATTTCATTTAATTTTCTTTAATTAGGTTGACAATACTGGCATACCGTAATTTGACATACATAATGGTGAACCTGTACATTACGTAATTATACATTGTTATCTTGCTTTCAAAATCTTCAAAACTAAAACGCTGCATGAAACTTTAGTAATCTTCATAGCCAGAATATTTTGTTGCCTTTTCATGTATTTAAAAAAATTCAAAAGTAAGGTAGCTTATACTATTTTATTCTTTGTCTGATTTTTTTTTTAAAAATGTAAGAGTACACAGAATGTTTCTTTATTTTCAACCTGATAAACGTTATTCCATAATAAGTCCATAATAAGTCAATTCAATCAAATAGTACCTACAAGAGTACATATGTTGACCCGTCATGCAGGCACGCACATATTGTCATTTTGGGTGGGGGGTGTTTTTCTTTTTTTCTCGAGAATAAGATTTGGCTATTAATCTAGTATGGAAATTGTCAATAAAAGTATGGTTTGAATCCCCCAAGAATATGTATTATTATATACCTCATCATAATTATTCTTGGATATCATGATATAGGTTGCATTTTTTCCGTAATACTTATCTTTCGAGAGCAAGAAGACGTCACAAAATCTTCAAAGTTTAATCTACCAAGCAGTGACCAATTAGCGATCTTCCTTCCAACTTAAAACACAGAACTCGAAGACAATGGACGATGAAGTGTCCATGAGACCGCAGTACAGTATATCAGTGTTTTTTTCATCTGACTAAAACTAAAAACTAAAAGTAAATTTGAAAAGAAAAGTAAACAGCGTAAATACGGTAGAGTGGACACATCAGCTCTTAGCGCTGGTATTGATCAAGTAAACGGAGAAATCAGTAGGCAAATCTAGTATGAAAATAATGGCCAAATAATTGTTGAAAAAAATATGATAATTCAATGCAATGATGATTTGTATGCAAACAAGGTCATTAAATCGACCATAAATTTCCGGAAATGCTAATTTTAAAAAGAAGACTGAAGAAAACCCTGTTATATCAACTTCGGAGTATTTGCCAGTAGTCTACCTTCATTTATAAATCGTTGGTACACAGAACATGCTCTTGCGTACCAAAATAGACGAAAGACCTTGAAACCATTTGTAGGTGATATATGTAATGGAATTTTTCTGGATAAATTTGACAAAAATGATGGTGCGAGGGTTGAAACAAAGTTATGTCGTTACTACTTTAAAATCTTTAATAATCGAATAAAACAATCATCAAAATTTAACGTACTTAAACCCTTTCTATGTTGACATTTTAAATATATTTCATTCGTTTGTTAAAAATATTTTTTAAAATATTAAAATAAAAACAAAGTAATATTTAGTCTATTGCCATACGCCAAAAAAGTTTCCAACGTCGTTATGACGTTACTTTTCGGCACTCATTTTCTTTTCATCTTCAAATCCTAATAATTAACCTCAGAGCCTCATATTCTTCTCTTTAACAATCGTCCGTGTTTGCTCTACACCAAATTTTTATCGCTTCATTGGACTTACGAGATTGAATACTATTCGTTATTTGGCTCTAAATTCGCTCTTGAGTACATCTGGGAGACAAATAAAGAATTCTGTAGACACGTTTTTTTCTTAGATTTCTTTATGTGTATTTGAAGTTTTGACTCTAAATAGGACCAAAAAATGTTTGAATAGATAATCAAGTCAAAAATAAATATTTTATTACTGTTTGAAATATGTGTCACGTAACACACGACAGACATATAACGTAACATGACAGACGTATGATAAAACCTGACATGATTAAATTACATTTCTGATGCTTAGCAATACAAATAATCCGTAAAAAATAAAATTAAACAATTCCTTAAACAAAGCAAAAATTTTTTTCACTCTTACATAGAAGAAAAAAGATTTTTAAGCTACTTTTGATGTACAAACTGATGATCGTAACACTGACAGACTTCTTTACTTAGCAAGCCAAATATACCATAAACTTTCATTATTTTATCAAAAAGATAATGTTGTCCTAAGAAATGGATATTATTCAAATTTTGATTCCTTATAGATTTTAAATTTGAATTTTTAAAAAATAAATCTCTGCTATACGCTTTGCAACATACAAAATTTCCACTATGCAACATACAAAATTTCCACTATGTCTGTCATGTTACGATACTTCCTGAGCAATACCTGTTTGAAACGAGCCATTAAAATTTATCATTCAAAGCTTATCTTTTATTCTTGGAAATTATAATACACAAGACATTATTATTTATGAAAATACTAATGAAATTTAAAAAAATAAATTATTTCATATAGATCAAACCTATATCGTAACATGTACAGATGCACGTAACCCTGACAGACTCGTTTTAAAAACTACAAGAAAACAACTACAAAATTGTATTGTTTAAGTTATAAAGACAAATTTTGCCTTATGATACACTAATATACTTAAATAAAAATACTTTTTGGTTTAATTCACTGAACGTACAAATCTGAATGCACCCGTTTGATTCACATAACATGAACAGACATTCGTTTTGTCCGTCACCGTTACGATAGTATTCAGGCAATGTCTGTCAATCGGTACGTTATGTAAGAAATGTCAAATTTTAAGTGTTTATGTAGTGATGAAGAGCGTGCAAGTTCATTTTTTTTTTAAAATCCAAAATACACCTACTAGCTGACAATATTTGATGATATGTGTTTAAAATCTAGGATAAAGACAATTTACATTTTCATGAACGTAACATATTTTGTGTAACGTAACACTTGACAGACAAACGTTCGTGGCTTCTCGGGCTCTCTCTGTAGCTCTTCTTATCGAAATGTAAACATATTTGCATAGAACACTGGAGAAAATTTAAATATTCATAACCTTTAAGTCAGATGTATAAGAAGAAGCATCTCCGAGCTCCATTCTTAAAATAGAACGTAACGCCCACTTGCCATGACAGACACAGGAAGCATCCCACAGATTTGTTAATTTCTAAGCACACGTGCTTTTCTGTTGAATCTGCCATCACTTAATTGATAAACAGGTAAATTTTCTATCAGTAGACAAGAAAGATTAAATAGTTTGCATTAACAATGGCCCATTTTATAACAATGTACTCGGTGTATTGAGTCTGACAGACGTTACGTTCAAAATATGAGAAGAAATAAATTCCAATTTTTCTTTTATTTAAGACATAACGTGCATTAAAATACTTTTGTATGTTAATTTTATCCTTCCTAAACAGTAGTGAATGAAGATATTCTGTGTACAAGGTATTGTCGCCTTATATTTAACTTTTATTTTGACATGGTTGAAAATGTCCCCCTACACATGCGTAATTCTAGTGGAATTATCAAATTCATTTCAAGAAAAAAAAGTAAGTTGATGAAAAAATCTGCTTATTTTATCTTTTTTTTTTTATATATTTGCAATATACTTTTCAATATAAAACATTTCTTATTTCAATTTTTAAAATAATTTATTTTATATTCCTCTTGTAAAAATCATAGGTCAAGATGTACTCAAGAGCGAATTTAGAGCCATTTTCATATTTCACTTTATACCATTTTGCTATGAAGCGTCTCGATTTGAGCTGTACTTTTCAAAATATTGAACTTTGTCCAAATGTTATTTCTATTCTCCTATTCGTCAGACTAAAGAAGGAAGTGACGTTAAAGATTGATTGATTGTTCACTCCTTTCTTCTTTCTCAGTTTAAATAGTTGATAACCTGACTTAAAGTCAGACTTAACGTCCAAAACATTGACAACTATTAATGAAATAATTAACATTAGAAAGATACAAAAGATACATAAAACACCAACATAAATGGAAACAAAATGAAGAATGAAGGATTCATGCTTGGAAGAAGAAAATGCTTAGACGGTTATATTTTCACGTAATTTCCTTTTGAATCCCTCGCTACGCTAGATCTATATGTACATATAGCGAAATGGATATGCAAATGCACCATGAGTGAAAAAACCCCCCACATGTTTTCTTTTTTGTTTCTTTGAAATTTTCAGGGTGTGTTAAAATGTTGTTTATGATTGGGCAGAAAAAAATATTTACGTCTATTGAAGTAAATTTATAGCAACTTTATTTTTCTCTTCTTCCATCAATGGAAATCGTCTGGAACTGTTTGATATACACAGAGAAGCCCTTACTTATTGTGAAATCAGAAAGTGGATACCGGGAGCATTAAGCAGCGGTATGCATACCAAATGCATACATGTATATTCTACACTTTTCTCGAAACAAAGCGAATTTTATACGGATTGGGCTGCAAAACAACTCCAGATTCCATTTTATCAGGTAGAAGATCTGGAAGTGTTTTGACCTCTGGTTCCAGGATTTAAAAGTTCTATAGAAGAGTAACCACAAACAGGAACATCCAGGACTTAGCAAACACCTCACGAGTCCAGATTCAATCTAAGAAGATCAGATGGTCAAGCAGTTATTCGAGCTAATGGGGGACGCTATTAATTGAGACTTTTATTTTGTATAATACTTACTGTTTTGTGTTATTTAATTAAACGATGGAAAGGGTAATGATAAAGAAAATTATTTTTCTACTCAATGAGAGGTTCTTCTTAATGTCAAACAAAACTCCCGTTGAAATAAAATGATATTGAAACAGTGAGTGACGAAAATCCAGGTGGGGACTTAGAAATTTTGACTAGTTTATATCGACAACGTTTTATCAATTAACAATAGTTATTTCATTTTTTTCGACTTGATATATCCCAGTGATCTCGAAATAAAAGACAAAGTCTTCCACCATATCTGTTTCACGTTTAGATGTTTTACTGACAATAGATGTTAATGGCAATGAAACAACTAAACTATATGGCAAATGGGAAGAGCTCAGCTTTGTTTTCGTCAACTTTCCTTATTTAATGAGTAATATTCCACAGTTACCTTCATATGGTGTTTGTGTCTCCCTACTCTTCGGAACCCAAGGGCATGCTATGAGTACGATGAATTTTTAAATCGAATCAGGCTACTGACATATAAGTTGACAGTAAAGATTTTTCACTAATCTCGTTTAAAGTCCATATTTCGCAAATTTATGGTAGATATAATGACCTTGTTTGCAAATACAACCTGTGGGTTGTATTTTTGACTGACACATTGCATACCAGATTTTTATATTAAATTTGATTTCTTATTATTCTCTTTACCTGATCTGATCATTACAGTGGGATAACGGTTGGTACTGGTCGACGGGGATTCTTTACCCTCCTATATCATCTGATCAAACCACTGGCGTTTCAAGCAGTCAGTGTTTTTGTCCTGTTCACTATTTGTACTGTTTAAAGGATTTTAGATCGTTCACTGTTCGATATCTCCGCCTGTTTCATTGAAAGACAGGAAAGAAATAGTGAAGAAATGTCACTATTGCTAATCGAAAAGGGGAAAATACATGCAAATAAAATGTTAATTAATTCATTTAGTCTTATACAATGTAAAAAAAAAAAACAACTATATATTTCTGTAAGTTTGGTAAGTATTATTTTATCCTCCTGACTTGTTTTCATTTTTATTATGGCAAGGGTTTCCGATACTATCAACCTGCATTTTACGTAAATTTTCAAAATTTTTAGAATGTATATTTGTTAGTGGTATATTAGTCTCATGTTGATGCGTTGGTTTATGTTCATATAAGACTGGAGTCCTAAAATGTCACAAAACTGCTTTTAAATCATGCAGTTTACATCCTCTTTTTCCATGACACAGGAATTTATTTGTATTTTTCATTAATCTATTACATTTTTCCTACCGAATTCAGGAAGCAACAGAAGTGCATGTAGTGACTTATATTTGTAAAATGTAGAGGCGTTCCCATTATCCACGGAAAGTCCAGAGGGAACAGAAACTGTGTTAAAACTCTTCTCTCTAGACATGCTAGACTTTCTGTGGAAAATCGAACATGGCTTCATTTTATATAATTAGAAATCACTTTCGCCGTTGCTTTGGATTTTATGTGCTAGGTATCATGTACGGCTTGGATCGATAAATTTGGAAAAGGCAAGCGCAAACCGGCAGAAGATAAAGAAAGAAATCATTCAATCTTTTTCACAGCTAAATCTCACCTGTCATTGGAAAGAAAAGTGTTGATATCGATTGAAATCAAGTCTGAATCGAGGTACCCCATGATGGCGAGTGTCGCCCTTTACTTTCTTTAATGCTCAGGAAAAAAAAACACATTTCTTAACACAAGAAGTTCTAATTTCAGCACTGTTCGATTTAATTTTTCATCATCGTATTCAGACAGATATAGATGCACTTAATACACCATCCTGAAACCTTATAACAGGATGGGAGAAAATGTTTCGGACCAGGCCAGGATTCGAACTTGATCTAGACAGGTGTTCTACCAACCGAGATACATGTATTTGGCCACCAGCTATCCATCCCGTCTTACAGCCACATTCCTCCCACCTTGACGCAAGAAAATTCAACCTAGATTCTTTAACCCCTAATAGGTCTTTCATCTGCAAATTCAGGAGTGATCATTGGCTCTTTCAGGAAGGACGAAAATGCGACGGACCGTGTATACAAGGTTTCGAACACGGCCCTTCCGAACTCTCGACAGGTGCGCTACTTAAAATATTTTTTAATGAGGAGTAAAAGTATGAGTATTACTTTGCCATTTACAACCTAGCAAACTCCTTAACGAAGTTGGATCCTGATATTTAAAGTCTTAAACTTTTTTGGTCAAGTATATTTTTAGTTTCTACACACATAGCTTAATTAAAAATCAAAACAAAAAAATGGGGGTCAATACGCTTCTTATGGCGCTACAGAACATTTAATATGACCTTTTTGCACTGAAATTTGTGTCAATCAAAAATCACATCTTCGACGTTTTCCCTCCAATGTTTTTATCCAAATAAATCATGGGACAAATTAAACTATTAGTCTATTTGAAAAAAGACACTTCAAAATTGTGACTAAGAAAAAGTTTCAAATTGCTTCGCATAGTCAATTATTTGGCCTTTCTGCACTCAAAAAATGTGATTTTTCTGGCATTAAAAATTTAACAAGCAAGAAAATTATTTTAAAGTCTTAAACTTTTTCTGAATTTAGGCAGATTGATCAAAGTTATCTTATACATTCAGAAAATAAAAACAAAAGTGGGGGTCTATGATGTAAATTTTTAGATATTACTAAAAAAGTGTTAATTTTATGTTAAAATTGGCTAATTTTTTTCCTGGAGTTTCAGAATATATTTACTATATTTGTCACAATATAATGAAAGAATTCATAAGAAATAATTTAATAGGTATTTCAGAGGCAGCATAAAATATTTCACTGCAAAAAACAGCTCTGTGTGTTACCAGCGTGGAAAAATAGGAATCTAAACTTAACAGTACTGTATATATTTCAAAAGGGGACAAAACGATCATTTTCCCCTAAAAAACCTTCCGCCACAAAACATAGTTCCTGGCTTAATCCTCTTTGAATGGAATTTAATCGCGATTTTTTCCATTGGATATAGTTTAATTTGCATTGTAGAATTCAGATTTAATGTTTGAACTTAGAAATGATGCAGAATTTTATAGATAAAGGTCCAGACCAAAATCTGCTCAAAAGCTCAGGATCGAACCTCCTTAATAAGAGCATATATATACTGAAAATTTCACATTTCAATGGAAAGTTCTCCATTGCGAAGTAAATTAAAAACACAAAAACATGTGTCCCATATGGACATGCTTTGTCTCTAACCGTTTCTAAACAATGTTTGACCCAAAAGCGTAAATACTATAAAAATCACAGTATTCCAGTTACATAATGGGTCTCCTAGAATTAGTTTTGATGGTGAGTGGATGATAGCAAACATCCATATGGATATAAAAAGGTTTAACATAAGAAAAAAATGTGCTTTTCGTTTTCTTCACCGAAGTGCCGAGCTCAAAAATCAAAATATGATGAGAGCAAAAGTTTAACTCGTACTGATTGATAAAATATTAATAACAAATTCCAAGTAGGGCATAATGTACAGATGATGTTTGTAAACTTCCTCTTAGCATTTCCACTATTAGCATATCATGAAAAAGGAGGATGAAATTACTTCGGTAAACTGTGAACTGTTGTATGATCAGATACATCTGTTACTTCTGACCTATCAAACAAAGCAAATTCCTCACAGATCTTGAAAAATGTATCAAATCATTTTTCCTAGTAAGATGGCGTAAATTACATTGCAGTTTTCTTCTCTTTATGGCTATATATTTGACATATTTTTTGTGGAAAAATACTCCTTTTGGTAGATCTAAATGCTTTAATTCATTAGATTACCATACACACTGCATTTACTTTGCAAAAAACTTTGAATTTGCGATGTAGTTTTGAAACGAATAAAAGAATATAAGTAAAAAATGGCCGTTATTCTGATTACTAAATGTGCGGAGAATGTTATTGTATCGTGAGCCGGATGTTATTGTATCCTGAAGAGGATGTTATTGTGTCGTGAGGAGGGGGATATTGTATCGTGAGGAGGATGTTAATGTATTATGAATACTATTCATAATGAATAAAATTCATTTTTGTATCATGAGGGGGATGTAATTGTATTGTGAGGAGGATGTCATTGTATCGTGAGGAGGATGTTACTGTATCATGAGCAGGATGTTATTGTATTTTAAGGAAGATTTTATTGTATCGTGAGGAAGATGTTATTGTATCGTGAGGATGATGTTACTGTATCGTGAGGAGGATCTTAGTGTATCATGAGGAAGATTTAATTGTATCGTGAAAAAGATGTCATTGTATCGTGAGGAGGAAGATATTTTATCGAGAAGAGGATGTTATTGTATCTTTAGGAGGGTGATATTGTATCGTGAAGAGGATGTTATTATATCATGAGGAGGATGTTATTGTAATGTGAGAAGGATGTTATTGTATCGCAAATCTACAGTGCTGGTATTCCATGCAAAAAAAATCGATCAAAAAATGTAATTCATTTTTAGAACCCTTCACTAGACGTTAGGAGTCATTGCTTAGAGATAGATATTTTTCCTTGGGAATAGTGAACTTTTGCGAGAAGCACTGACTTTTATAGTCGACGGCTTACTTCGACAATAAACCTGCCTTATGTACGGAGGTAGGGAATTGATAATAACATTCTAGAAGGAAAACTTAGCAAGAGTTGGTCAATATGGGAAGGGAAGGGGTTGAGGGCAGGGTGGTTGCCGTTCCCTTCCTAGACAACGTAATATGTGCTTTAAAATGGCCCATTATAATCGTTTAATTAATTGTAAAGCTTAATATTTATATCTCAAAAGAGCTTCCGCATATTGTCTTAGTGTTAAAGTAAGCCATCGATTGTAAACGTCAGCGCTTCTCGCAAAAGTCCATCAAAAACAATTGTTTTTTACAAAGAGCTTTTAATATCATAGTCTTAAAACATTTATACAATTCTTCTAAGCCGTAGAAGTTAGGGAGATAAAAGTTGGACTTCAAAATATCAACAAAAACAGCAACAACACAAAACAACAAATTTTTAATGTTATTAATATGTCGTCTACATTTTGTTTAGTAAATTTAAAACAATTAATGAAATGCTTGTATAATAATGGCATCTTTGTACACTTGATATACTGATACACAATTGTAAATATTGACATTTGCCTTTTTTGTTTGGCTTATTTACTATGTTACCTGTGAACATGCTTTTTTTAAAGTATACTCAGGTCTAATAAAGAGCTGTGGGAATTTCAAATCGTTATCGTATTTTTGCTGGCATTTTGTGACAATTAAGTCTGTGCGATTTATACATAATTACATGTAATATGAATACGATTTTTTTTACCCGAAGAAATTTTATACCAGAGTAAGCTTAAGTACACCAAAAGAAACGTTTTTTAATAGAATCATTATTGAATTAAAGTTCGAAATTAAAATCAGTCAAAATAGTTTGATCATATAATATGATTGCAAACTAAATGTATACAGGGTATACTGTATATGTATTATATATAACGTGTGCGATATTTAGCGGAATTTGATTTTTGAACAAGTTAGCGTAGTCTTGATTTAGCGCATTTCTAAATGTTCTTATTTATGCATATATGTGCAAGAGATTTAGCGTTGTAGTTGAATTGGCGGAAGTTTCTTTCCGCCAAAAGTGCTAAAAAGAATACACAGCCAAATGTACTACGTTTACAATATTCTATACTTTTCTCGAAACAAAGCGAACTTTATATGGATTGGGTTGTAAAATGATTCCAACTGCCAACTCATCCGGTAGAAGATCTGGAAGTGTTTTGTCCTCTGGTTCCAGGATTGAAAAGCTCTGTAGAAGAGTAGCCACAAATAGGAACATCCGGGACTTAGCAAACACTTCACCGATACAGCTACGCTTTCCCAATCCAAATGTAAGTATCCTATTTGCAACAAATAGCACATGCACTTTCATTTTAGTTATTACAGTGTATATATTGTTCTTCATTTATTGAAGATATATTAAAAAGGATTTTTCTATTTAAACTAACGTTATGGATATCCAAAAGCCTGTTACACTGTCTGTTCTGCAAAATTGCAAACAAACATTTAACTACAGTACATGAGACTCACCGTTGATTGCTTATTACTGTAGATCACTTAATTTTCGCGACACCATATTCTCGCGAGATAGTCATTGACACTTTATTAGCGAGACAAAATTTTCACGAATTGAGTTAATTGCCCTTTATTATCTTAAGGAATACTAATATACTTGAGAATGAAATTTTTGGCGAGCACACAGTCTCGCGTTGTTACGCGAAAATAAAGTTCTCGCGAATAAAAAGTGATTTACAGTACCCTTCCTGTTTTATCGGTATTGGTTTTTAGCATGGCATAAGGTCAGACAACACGTATCTTAATAACAAGTACATTTTCCCAAGAATTTGTGGTTGAAGCTTTTCTACTTTAACAGGTTTCCTCACAAAAAATTAGGAACATTATAAAGCATTTATCCTTAGATACAATGGGATGATATTCCCAACATAATATATCACTTGAATGGCTGATATCACAATTTTTGGTGATTGTATTTTTAGAGAAATTTTTAAAAAGTTTAGAAATCACTTGATAATGGCATATTACAAAGAGATACAGAATCAGATATTCAAGGAACGTGTCTTCGGAGCTTAAGTTAGGACTTTATGTGCAGCTAATGACGTCTAAATAGAATGGGGGGGAAAATCATAGATGGAACAGCACTAATTCAAAAGACTTTAACGATGTTCTTGTACCTGTTTTGTGTATATTTATTTAGTTTTTTCTCAACAGTAACCACAGAAGGTACACTGTAATGAACTTCCTTCAGGCTATCACTTGGGGATATCTGTTGGACATTTCTACATACTTCTTTACAGGATCAGTGGAAGGTAACTTACCTTCATATAAAGGATTCTAAACCTGTAGGACATATCTACATACCTCTTCTTTACAGGATCAGTGGAGGGTAACTCTTCATATAAAGGATACTGATCCAGTACCACATTCATAGATACCTCTTCTTTACAGGATCGGTGAAGAGTAAGAAAGTCCATATAAAGGATACTGATCCTGTAGGACATAGCTACATACCTCTTCCTTACAGGATCAGTGGAAGGTTACAAACTTCCATATAAAGGATTCTGATCCTATAAAACATTTCTACATACCTTATCCTTACAAATCAGTGGAAGGTAACGTTCCTTCATAAAGGATGCTGATCCTGTGAAACGTTTCTATACCTTTTCCTTGCAGGATCAGTAGAAGGTAACACACCTTCATATAAAGGATACTGATCCTATAGGACATATCTAGTACATACCTTTTCCTTGCAGGATCTGTAGAAGGTAACAAACTTCCGTCTTCCTGTAGGAACCTTTCAGGGTTAAAAGAGAGAGGATCTTTCCATTCTTTTTCACTATGATGCACAGTCCAAAAATTACAAAGAACCTACAGAGATGAATTAAACAACCTTCATAGATGAACTAAATTATCTACAGGGATGGATTATACAACCTACATGTATAATGTTTTATACATTATAAATACACTGTGATAAGTAAATACAAAACTTACAACAATATAGAAAAATGGTTATTCTTTACGTTTGAACTACTTCATCTATTGAGAGATGTACCCAAACATTTTAAATAATTTCATAAATTTATCGTTTTTGTTGCTGTTACAATTTGATTGATTAACAAATTACAAAACTTCTTATTCTATACCCAATACAAACAGAAATGTAGAAAAGTGTCATTAACATAACACATTGTTTTACACGAGAACGGAAGAAAAAACAAATTCTGAACAAATTCAGAAAAAAAACAACACACCGTAGTATTCTTCTCCACCAGCACACCATTCACTTCTGTGTCGTCAGTTGTGCTATGGAAAGCGACGGGAGAAACTGGAATATAACGAAGTGTTTCCAATATCACGGCCTCCACCAGGTGGCACTGCTGTCTGTCTTTTAGATCGGGTTCCCTAGCAACACCAATAACATTGTCGATTTCTCTTTGTATAGACTTCTGGAGGTCAGGTCGTTTTGCCAAAATTTGTATCAGAGAAAGCAGGGTTCCTCTGGATGTCAAGTACGCTATTACAGAAATAAAATCTTACAGTCAATCCTCGTTATCTCGAACCCGATGAAGACGAGAAAAAATACAATATAAATGAGATTTTTGCTTGGATATATATCGGACCATTCGAGATATGTTCGAGATACCAAAGTTCAATTAAATTTTAATCAGGAAGTTTTTGTGCATAGTTTTTAAATGTATCATATAATTTGTGCAAAACATTTTTGTACATGTTTGATACAAAAATAGATAATCATCTGTAATACAGTAAATCACTTTTATTCGCGGGAACTTTATTTTATCGCGTATTTACGCGAGACCTTCTATTCGCGAAAATTACATTCTCTCGTATAATTTTATTATTAAAGATTATATAGAGCAATAACCAAAATCCGTAAAACTTTTGCTTCGCTTTCAAATACCAAACAACAATCTCGCGAAAATAAGGTGTTCCGAAAATTTAGTGATCTACAATTAAATAAACTCTCTGTGAGTAAATAAAAGGAGTCTTTAAGCAGCGATGGATTGACCTACTGCTTGAAACGATGTTGACAATTAAACACCACAGGTTGACTTCACTGAACCATGGTTGCCCGGATTTATCTCGTTCTTGGAGCAGTTTCTTTAGTAACAGATATACACCTGTGCTTTCAGGATGATTGTTCTGCATGAAATGGATATTATGTCTCATGTTTGATATACAATGTATAATAATAATATTCTATAATTATTGTGATAATAACTGCAGTTTCAAAACGTAAAGATGTCTTGATGCTATTACAGTATAAATATTGTACCAAATTTAGACAGAAAAAAATGTGATTATCAGTAAGACATTTTTTACTCTTGTAAATTGATTTCGAAAAAAAAAGACCAATGTTTTAGATCAGACACCCTACTGACCATGCAATATATGTGGTATTAAATTAAAATGTCTGTATGTTCCACAAATTTAACACATGTATGCACTTACAAAAAAAAAAAACAAACATGTAGAGCATTATTAAATTAATATCTGAATGATATTTTTTTAGGGACACAAGGTTAAACAACCAATATATACAAAAGAAAGCGTACCGATATCTTCTCTAGCATATCCATCATTTTATTCTTTGTCTTTTGTAAGTTTTCTAGGTTTTTTGTGTGTTGAAAAGGAAGAAACCGAAGAAAGGGAAAAGTGTTATACAGCATGTCAGGTCCTAGATTATGGCTCTCATTAACGAAGACGTCTAAGTCCTTCATTATCTCTTTCAGCTCCCCATGCTTTCCTGAACTTTTTCCAATCAACTGTGATACCACAACAAAAGAACTGTGTTTAAATATTCTTTACAACTTTATATTTAACCACATCAGCTTGAGGCATATCAACCCTCTGTTCCCTAACACAGAATTCTGTTTTAAGCCTATGATTTCTTAAAAGATATCTAATTTTAAATAATGTAAATTTAAACCATTTCAGCATACCTCGCTAGGCAAAATTTGTCCAAATTGCCTTCAATTTGACAATTTTTTGAAGAAGAAAAATAAACCGTCTCTCCGAGTGAGAGTTTTACGTCTTATCAGAGGGTTGATGATCCTTAAGATGAGAATTTCACTGGATTTGCATTTTGAGATACAGTGTATATAATCTTACAAAAGTTGTCTTCTTGTAATTAATATTGAATCTATATCCCCTTTTTCAAACAAAAAGCTGCAATGTTAGAATTCCCCATGAACCTTCGGCATAAAAATGACCTTTATTTAAACAAAGGAAGTAACCTTTTGATCACATTTATCATCTTTATGACAGATCTTTAAAGGACAATATGTTCTTAAAAAAAGAAAAAGTCAAGAGAGATAATAAGTAAGGGACACAAGACGAAGATGGTCTAATATGTCAGATAAGGGACTGGGATCAGGTGCGAAGCACCGAGTCTCAGTCTCGTATCTGACGTAAAAGACCATCTCAGTTTTGTATCCTACTTAAACATTTTTTCAATGCACTTTTGTATTGGCAATTGTCATAATACGATACTGGTGGCGGTGACCAAACCAGATGGATGGGGCGCTTAGGGGTTTAAGAGATTTCTTTCAAAGGGATGAATAGTTTTTGAATTGAAAACCCTTACTGAACACCAACCATATGTTATTTATCGTTGTGGCACTCTACGGATGTGTTAAAAAGAGCTGAGCAACTTCCTGACATTAAGCGATTCTGAGAGTATTGTGAAGGATCCTTTTTTTAACGGATGAAGATTGTAAGTGACCAGTAGGCAAATATTTCAGGAAAGCGCCGGTTTTTTCCCTTGCATATCGAAAGCACCAAATCTATAGTAAATTAATTTGGAAATATATATTGGAATTAACTTTTACAGGAAAAGCGATGTATAGGATATATTTACAGATCGAGTGTAAACTTGTCCGCATTTCGTTTTTTTTCCTCCCCCGAATGCTTATATTTTTCAATGGACCACTTTACGTGGATTTATTTGGATGTGGTTTCGGAAAAATCATAAATATAATATTAAATGTTAACTCGACCATATAATGTGCTTCAATACCGGTAGTTTCATAATCAGTGACCTGAGTGTAAATTCTAAGGGATTTCTGCATGGGATGTTCCTACTTTGGAAGTTTCGTTGCATGAATTGGATTACGAGATGTTGATTTCCATATAGCTTGCATTGGATTCTATATAGCTTGAATTTGATTAATAGCTGTTCATTTCTATATAAATTGCATATGTTTTTGCCTATTTGTTGCCTTATTCATTCGTTGCGTAAAAGCTAGGTGACGTCATCCTTTGTTTTACACAGTCCAGTATTATTTTGAAGTACAATGTTAGATATAATACTGTACTCCTGAAAATAATATTGGGCTATAGCTAGTACACTCTGAAATATGAAACTGTAGACACAAAAGACGTCACAAAAATGTTTTAAATCTATTTAAATGCCACTCTAGCAGTTATAATGTTAAAGAACGATTAAACTGCCGCTTACCAAAACTTCAACCGTGTCCAAAATGAATCTCTCCACAAGACTACTAGGATCAATAGTATGACCATTATAGGTATCAATAACGTCCTTCATGGCAAGCAAGTTCTCTTTAATCAGATGTTCAATCTTTACCAAGCCTTCGCCATAAGCGTTCAACATCTTGTACAAAAGTTTCCTTCGTTTTGCCCACTGCTTATCCGGCGGTGAAAAAACAACATCATTTTTGTGCATATAAAAATATTTCTCAACGAAAATTTCAGGTCGTCCGGCCATATGTGTTGCCGTTGGCTCATGGAGAAGAATATCACGTATGATGTCTGACGAGTTAACGCAGACAAACTTTCTGCCAAGACACATGAATTGAAAAACGTCACCGTAAAGTGTCCCCCATTTATCAAATGTGATATAAAGGCGGTTAAGATCCAGCTCCAACAAAACTCCCAGCACAGGCCAGCCCTTTGGACCAGGGAATGGTTTCTGTTTTTGCCATCTGAGCACCAAGATGGTCAAAAAGCAAATAATTGCCATCAAGAGTATGTATATTATTGCCATTCTTTTTGGGCTGTCAACCTAACCAACCATCGAGTTTATACTGCGTATTGGTGACCTCTTTTTCTGTTGATCTATGGTCACCCAACCGCAATAAAAATAAAGAAAATCAAGGAAAAGATGTATTTCCTTGTTTAATTTACAATGGACTCATAAAAATTTACATTATGTAGTACAACTAATAAGCTGTAGTTTATAGTCCAAAACACCCCACATAGTTTTTCATATTATTTTTTTTTCTTTTAATCAATACTTTTAAACAGAAGAAGAAAAAATAATTCAATCTCACTTAAGTTTTCCATCCCTCCTATTAATCCTACCGTTAAAAATCAGAATAAAAATATAGAATAGGGTCACGTGTAGATATTTAAGGGTTTTATTTAATTATTTTTTTTTTCTGATTTGCTCAAAATATCTTAGTACCTTGAGTCAGAATAATGCCTTGTATCTAATATTCCTTAATTGTGTTGACAATATTGGTATACCGTAGTGACCTACATAACGTTGAACCTGTGCATTATGTAATGGTTTAAAAAGCTATAATTTAATTTTGTTTGTATTCTAGCCTCTGATTGGTTAATATCCAAAAAGGAACACAAATTATTTCTGTATAACCTGTTTTGGTATGGGACACACACACCTGACAACTAGCTGAATCATCTGTATCCATACAATCCTCTCATTTCCAGTCCTCGGGATTCATGGAAAATTCCAGATTTAATAAATGTACCTTTAACTTCAAACAATAATTCGATCTTACCACATGTAAACAAATAACAATGCCTATGTATCAGTTTTTACCTCCCCTCGCTTACCATCACTTCCGTTACTTCCGTTCCTACGGTTGTATTATTGAGCGGCAAATTTGAACTAATAAAAGGCAACGAAATTTTACACCCATAGTTATTTAATGATTTTAAAATTAAATTATAAGGAATGACTCTTATTCTTGGCCAAATTTTTCGAGTATAACCTGGTTTGGGTCAGTTTACGCTGTTTTATAATCCGCTTTGCGGATTATAAAGCGTAAACTGACCCAAACCAGGTTATACTCGAATAATTTGGCCAGGACTTAGAGTCGTTCCTTAATTAACACTAAAATCTGCACATAATTACTAGTAATCTTTATAGCTTTTTCTGCAAGCTATTATCAGTTATTAAAAAGTAATGGACTGACAATATTGCCAAACGTATTAAATTATAATACACATTTATAAATTCTGTAAAGGATAAACATTTCTTCATCATTACTTTGTTTTCTTTAAATGAAAAAAATGAAGATAGTGATCGATCTCATAAATCCTTTAAACAATACAAATTGTGAACAAGACAAAAACACGGTCTCCAGAAACACCAGAGGTTTGATCAAAGGCTTAGGAGGATAAAACATCCCCCTGTCGAAACAGTCACACCCACATTGGGAACTCTGTAATGATCAGCTAAATGGGGTAATATTTAGTGTGAAAACAATGGCCAAATAATTGTTTGTCGAAAAATGTTCGAGTAGTCCATGATATATAGAGCTTGATGCTGAGAGAAATTGATGGACATTTTCCAGAGAAAGCCAATCATTTAAACAAAAATTAAGCATACTTTAAATATGTTGTTAAAAATTAAAGAATTCCCCATAATGTCTGAGTTATTATTAGAAATTGATATGTATGAGGGTTGTCCGGTAAAATCGTGGACAGAGCGTTTTAATCGTAAAATAATGGGCACACTAAGCTGAAATTTTTATCAAATGTTTATTTATCATATTTTAGTATATCTTAATATCTTTAATAAATTATATTCAAAAATAAGGATTTTATTATACTTGAATGTGCACAACCAAACGATGGGGGTTTTATCAGGAAATATTCCAGTATTAATTCGAATTAAAAGTATTAAATTAGGGATGTCAACGAATATTGAACATTCGAATATTCATTCGATGAGTTGATATTCGAATATGAATTTAAGATTCGAATAATCGATGTTTTCAGAAGTACTGTGATTAATAAATTTTGATTAAAACAGTGCTGGAATTACCCTGTTTAGTTTACTAGCGATCAATTTTGATCGCCTGATTTCTTTCGCTACGCATGTGAGTTAAGGCTAGGTATAGGCGTTTCTATGCAAATGAGCTAATAAAAACGCATAAGAGGCATATTTATTATTCAGAGAAAGTGTTGATTTATTTTCTTATGCATACTTAGTACCCACGATATGTTATAGCCAGTAAACATTATGACGTCACTGATCTTACCTACTGGAGGTAATATAACACAACAACAAAACAGCTTCGGCGCAAGGGATTACCCTATTTATTTTTACATAAAAATTGTATAATGTTAAGAAGAATATTCTATAGATTAATAAAACTGCTGCACAAATCCTAGGCATTTTCTCATTTGATCGGAATGTGAGGAAACTTATAGCGGACTGTACATTTTTACCCTTATTCAACTTAAAACATTACAAATAGAAATTATACAACTGAGCTGCTGATACAGTGTATTTGTGCAGCAATACCAGCAAACTTTGGAATATTTTACTTCTAAATATGCCCTGTTTCAGTTAAATAAAATAGAGCATGCCCTTGCGCCGAAGCATTTTTGTTGATATACATTATAATCTTGTGTAGTACAGAACAATGACGTTATAATATGACGTCATAATTTGTATTGGCTATCTTATGTCGTGGGTACCAAGTATGTATTAGACAATAAATTTTAACTTTGTCTGTGTAATAGATATAGCCCTTTGGCATTTTAATTACATAATTTGCATAAAAATGCCTATATCTAGCCTTAACTCACCTGCGTACTTTCTTATCCTATAGATCCACTAAATTATTTTGTTTTGAATAAGGTGTTAGAGACTTAAACAATAATTTATATATTGCTTTATATATAACACAAAAATCACATCATAGCTTTTATTAGTTAATAGCCATTCTCTGTAACCACTTAAATTTTTGTGGCACGCATAGTCACAGATTTTTTTTCAAATTTGGCTAGAATTTACCACCTCATAAACTACTCCAAAAAATATTGTTAGATCATATGAATGTTGAGTAGTTACCATGGAAACGGTGTCTAAAGTTGATTTTTTCTGAAAAAATGCAATTTTTGGGAATGTCAATCAATGAAATGCGGCTACTTCAATTCATGTTACTCACAGAAATAAAAAGTATGACATCTGACTTTAAAAGGTATTTAAAAACATTGTTGGTATTCAGTCTATAAATATAAGAAATCTATGATTAAAATAGCAGACATTCATTTAAAAATTGAATTATCTCCCTTTGATAATTGTGAGCTCTTTAGTGCGAGAGATAAAAAAATCATTGGACAAAACTGACTGGAAGTTGTTTACATTATCAACATGTATCCTGGATTTCAAGTAAAATCAAGTATTTTTTTCTGTTTATTTAATGTGCATACTAATTTTAACCTCTTTGTTTATTTCCTGCATGCAACAGAATAATTTTGATGAGTGAACAGTGGCGAAATGTAAAAAAACCACATGGTACAGGAAATCAGCTCTGATTCATTCATGATATTGAAGCCTAAGCCTCAAGGTCTTAGGAGTTTTAAAATGGAGATAAAAGATAAACTTGAGATATCAGAATTATATTGAATTGGTTGTAAGAAGAGGTACAATGTCTCAGTCAGAGTGATATATTATAATGAATACAGCCTTGGAAAGTCAGTGCCTTTTTAAAACAAATGTGAAAATAATGTGAGAGAACTAGGCTATTGATTTTACCTAAATAATTAAAGTCAAGCTACATTTACATGTTTGTACAGAACTGGAAGTTGAAGTTTGTATTGAATGATGTATGTAAGTTGATGTCTGTCATAAAAGGGATGACCATTTGATGCGGGGGGGGGGGGAGGGGGGGGTTTACAGATTTTAGAGACTAAAGTCCGTTCTTGAAAATGTTGAAAATATATAATCTGTCTTCAACTGGCAGGAAAATAAATAATCCATCTTTGATAAGTGCTACAACCTCCAACCCAAAGGCACTTGTTTCGGTAATAATTTTTTAACCCATATTATAATAAGTATTATTATTATACTATGGGATAAAAAAATTATTCCGGAAACAAATGCCTACATAAACTGATACTCTTTACACCCTCATCCTAAAATTAAAGAACGTAAAAGTATATTTTATCTCTATCTAAAGGCTACATGTAGAAAACAATCCACACCTAAAAACCCTGTTTTAGTGAGGGATGTAAGTGAGGGATGTAACAGAAAACTCAATCTTTTTAATACTACTGTTTGCCTTTATCTGTATCTGATTCAGAAAAAAAGAGAGAAAAGTTATCTGTGTATATTTCAGATTTGAACTTTTTATTTAATATATATAAATATAATAATATATATATATATAACGCTTAATGTTTCACAAGGGATCCGTGTTTTTCTTACAATTATGACTCTTACCAATTTATGTGGTGTAAGTGTTTTTACATGGTTCCTGGAAGGGATAGAGTAAGTCCTGGTCATTGGTTACTTTATCATGTTCATTTTAAAAAATGAAAACCATAGGAAGAAGGCAGGGACAAATTATTTTCAATATTTTCAAGGACTCAAGTTAAATGCTATACTAAAAAGCTAATTCAGAGAAGCTGTGTCCCCTGCTTAAGGAAAAAAGAGCATGTACGGATCTTGAGGGATGGGGTCGGAGGATGGTGCGGTTGGGGGGACGGGATACTTTAAGAGTTGCAGGCGGGACCAAAGGGAGTTGTGATATAAAATTTCATTGCAAAAGCTTAAAAGCTTCTTGAGATATCGCACGGAAATGAAAATTTTACACACAAACAGAATGTATAAATTTTTGACCTTGACCTTTGACCTTTTGAACTCGAAATCAATAGTGGTCTTCTTTAGGCCATAGGGAGTTTCAGTGTAAAATTTCATTGCAAAAGCTCGAAGTTTTTGAGATATTGCGCGGAAATAAAGTGTTAAAACAGACAGAATTTATGAATTCATGACCTTTACCTTTGACCT